AATACAACATGGATGGGTAATTCAACTATGAATAGTAGCACTGCCACCACCACCACAACAGTCTCATACAACACAACATCCATGGCTAACTCAACTATGAATAGCACTAGTACTACAAATGCTACGACTACATCAAGCACAGCTTCGATGAGTAACTCAAGTATGAATGCCACTACCACCACCACTACAACAACACTCCCATACAACACAACATTCATGGGTAATTCGACTATGAATAGTAATAGTACCACAACTACTACTACTACATCAAGCACTGCTCCGATGGGTAACTCAACGATGAATGCCACTACTAGCATCACTTCAACAGCAAGTACAGTTCTGACCGGTAACGCTACTATGAATGCTACTACTACCACCACCACAGCGACTAACAGAACGACCTCGACTACTAGTTCCAGTACTACCACATAAGGGGAAGGTTGTCATTGTGTTGGGAGATGAATGTTATGAATGTTTGGTACGTTTAGATCTGAGCGTGGAATAATTGTTTGATGTCTGTTTTGTTTTGTGTTTTGGGAAGTGGGTGCGTGTTTTTTTTATGAGTCTGTGTATGCCGTACGGATGTATAGCATTTGCTTTTTGTGTGATGTTTATTATGTTTCAAAATATTTTGTATTTGGATCAATAAAGTGATGTTGAACTGTCTAACAAGATGGTTTGGTATTCGTATAGATCTCAGTTTTGTTTTGTGAAAAGAACGTGTCACAGGGAACCATGAAGGGTTTGAGATATATATACCATTTTAAGAAACTCTGGAAGTTCCAGTAAAAGTTGATTTCATGTCGGGCCGCTTTATTTGTTCGTTTTAAACGATTGTGGGCGGTTAGAAAGCAGTTCGTTTTTGTGAGGTTGTTAGTGTAGGTGTTTTTGTGGCATGAAAATAACACCCACACTCACACTCACACTCTCAATGTATTTTTGGAAGGGAAAAACTCTCTTTGACGGTATTTGTACGCAGTCATATCCACACGCACACTCACGCACAGTCACAGCCACACGCATCTTTTTGTACATGATGTATTGCTATAAGAATTAGGATTAGTATTATGTACAAGTATTGGAGTAAGATTACGCCTTGGATAATCTCGACCTGGTCTACCAAGAGGTATGTTATTATTACTTGGTGATTGTCATGGTATCATTTATAAAGATAAAATTTAATTCAATTCATCACATACTTCTATGTAAGTTTTGGGATAAAATATTTTTTTAATTTCAGACGAATAGTTTTTAGAAAATATATTTGTTTTGATTGGATTTAAATATACATTACGTATTTTTTCAATAGAATAGTATGGAGTATATATTATTGATTCTGGATTTGTAGTATATAATTCAGTTGCATAATATTGATAGGAGCATGAAAACTTTAGTGAATAATATTCATAATTCATCAAACTTTCAATATTAAATATACCACTCATATCCATTGTTATAGTTATGGAAGATAACTGATTGTTATGAATCAGGAGATCATGTGTTGTAAATGTTTCACAATATTTGATACAGATAGGTTTTGCATCCAATGATAGGATGTGAGTGTGGCTCTGAGTGCACATGTCGATTTGGGTGTGGCTGTGACTGTGGGTGGATATGAGATCATAGATACCCACACCCACATCCACCCTCAACAGACTATATCGATATATTTTCTCTTCTTACCCTCATTCTCACTCTAATCGCTCCCATCCTCAACCTCTCACATATGGTGCTTACTTTTTATGATATACTTTTAAATGTTGATTATGCTGTTCGAGAAATCAATGTATATTTTTTTGTCAAATCGATTTCCCAGTGTAGTACATGAAACTGTATTTATCGGGCAGTATACTAAGTTTTCACAGAGTTTTATTTAAAAGCAAAAAATCTGTAGCACTATACAAACAACTTATGTTTGTCAACCAATTTATTTTACTTTTTTTGTAAGCGTAATTCGTATGTACATTGAATGTGACTTCGAAAAAGCCGAAAAACGAAAACAAATAAACTTGCAATCGTTTTCACTCTCGAAATAATGCACACAGAGCAAAATAAGCGCTTGGGTGTGGATGTGAGTGTGGGTGTGGGTGTGGGTGTGGATGTGAATGTGGGTATGGGTGATTATGAATGTCGGTGTGCATGTGGATGTGGATGTAGCCAAAGAGAACACCCACACCCTTGTTTTGTCATTCACCTTTATAAAAATTTGACACTTACATATAAACTGATCGACTGCTTATTTCGGCGAAAAAAGCGAATTATGACGCTATTTATACAATTCTTTCTTCTTCATTTTTCTTATTGCTTGTGTTTCAACTATGGCTTCGTCGAATCGCAACGGCTGCACTTTGTTTGCCACCATGGGGTTTTCTCATCCAGAATTGCTTATGTTGAAAAAATTCTTCGAAAAGTGCAGCTCAAAAAATATGTTTTTTTACTAAAACTATATATCAGCACTACTGAGAATCCTTTTGAAAGTTGTATTTCAGTGATTGGGTAGAAGATGTAGTCTACTTGATCGAATAGGTTTCACTGCGAGTCACAGAGACTTGGGTGTAGATAGAAATTAAACAAGCATGTCGCTTTTCATATTTGCAGTACGGTTCGATTAATAATTAGTATCTTCAAAATTTAATGTTCTTTTGTTCACCAAATACCAATCAAAAGAGCACGTTCCATCTCTGCTTTGGTCCTCACTCTATCTAACAATCAAAAAGTTTTAAGATAAAAGTTTTGACGAACTGTAGTCTTTTCTGCGTCGCAGCCATGCAATGAAAAAAGACACATAAGGCTCGCCTTTTAAACTACCAATTCTCCACCGTTTATTGAAATTCTGATAAGTATTTTTTGTCATTGTTCAATGCTCATGACAGGGAATGAGCGTTAGTGACTCATTATTTACATACTAAACGATGGGGTGGCTCAAAGTTGATTGTTAGGTAGGAGCACATCAACATTTTTACCTACTGAACATAGAGCTTCTGAAACAATTACTTTCGCCATTGATGTTTAATGGCGAAAAATCTCCGATATTTGAGATTTAAAAATCCTTGTTTATAAATATTTATTAAACTTCAATAGTTTTCTGTAATCTTCAAGGAGTACGGGCATGTACCAAGTTTTTAATAAAGATCTATACAACTGTGGCCTAATATTTTCTTCACTGATAAAATCTATTTACACCCATATATTCACTCACACCCACGTCCTGGGAATACTGAGCCAAGATCATTGATGATTTGATATCTGTACGGGATGGATTGTGAAGGTGTACAAATCCCGATCCGTGATTATGTATTAAGACAGTTTTGCAATAAGACGAAGCGTCGGTCACAGCCGGGGATTGCCATAGATAATTGATTTCATTTTACATCTTACTAGCTAGACCGTGTTTTACATTTTAGTCCTGCATAAGTTGAGAAAATAGCTTTTATGATACACCTTTGGAATTTTTTTGAAAATATCGAGCAATTTTCTTTTTAAATTATGTGATTCTGGTCCAGTTTTCTTATATTATTCAGAAAGATTTTTGAAACTTCAGAAAATCTTCACAGATTCTGACGAGTTTTGACCGGATGAGGGTGAATATTTCATCTAACCTCACTCCCCTTCACACCCTCAACCGCATCCTCACCCACACCCAGACTCACCCGTTTCTCTTTCTCAAGTGAAACATTAGTCTCAAGTCAAGGGAGCAAAAGCTGATTTAAATCACAAAAATCACAAATCATTTTTCTCACCTTGTCTCAGGTGATTTGTTTGAGAATAACAAAATTCATATATATGTGCGCACTTCCTTTTTTTCGATTTTTATTTTTGCCATTTGTTAATGGCTTCTCAAACTGTACACAATGTTTGCTGACGAAATCTTTGAGGTAACCAAAGTCATTTCTCTTGTAAAAACATCTCTCTCTTATTTTCAACAATATCTTGCAATTTGGCTTAGCTGACGTCACTCGTCGTTGTGAGTTGGTTATTCTTGAAAAATTTTAGTGCGTCAAAATGTGAGCGACGTAAATTGTATTTCTTCTGCGCAAATAAAGAACACTTCACTTGTATTTATCTGTATGGTCATAGAAAAAAGCTTTATTTATTTTTTTATTAAAAAAAAAGAGAAAAAAAAGAAGAAAAAGGAGAGAAAGTTTTCATAGCAGCGGAGCTCTTATAAATTATCAATTTCTTCGGTTCCTCTTTCACACACTGATATTCGTTTTTTTTATTGAAGTTCATTCATATGGAAATGATGAGAAGCGTATTTCTCACTAGTATTTATTTATGTTTACTTTTGGCATACAGTAAAGGTAATGTCAAATCGATGAGAATGATTTCTTTGATCTCTTTTATCTAGGTGTATCACTGAAATCTTCAGCAAGTTGCATGGTTGATTCTTGCAGTTCTGGTGATCAAGGTGGTAGTTGTTCCTTGTCTAGCTTATGTTATAGTTTTCAGACATCGAAAAATAAAACAGTATGTGCACCTGCAGCAAACTGTTCATTGTTCGACGCTTGTTCGAGCACAAAAACATGTGCGTCGAATAACTCTGTTTGTGTCATCAACAGCTGCTGTTTAACACCTATCTGTATGCCTACTGCTATGACAGCTATATGTTCATCAATAAGTAATGCGACTACGAATTCGACAAGTTCCGGAACATCCACAATAGGTACGTAGATATTATAAATCTAACAAAGTTCTAATGAAAAAGAGAAGAGACACTATCACCACGGACTAAAGCCCATCGGGTCTTAAAAATTTGTTTTTACCGGGTCCGGGCCCGGGTCCGGGTCTCGAAGCTTTTTATGACCGGGTCCGGATAAAAAGAAATATATTATCGACATGATATTTTTATACTGCTCGGTGAACATGAGAATGTCATTTTGGATTTGAAAACTGGTTAATAGGTTTTCAGAAAACTAAATCAAAGACCTCTTTTTTTTGCTACTTAGTTTTGGTTTTTGGATAGTTAAGACTAAAAAATTTTTTAAAGGTACAGCTCGAGTTCAGACGAGTGCTCGTCGAAATCGGGTCCAACCCGGACCCGGACCGGGCATCGGGTCCGGGTCCGGGTATACCGAAATTTTTTTGAACGGGTCCGGGTCGGGTCCGGGTCCAAAAAATTTTTATTGGGCGGGTCCGGGTCCGGGTCCAAAAAACGTGGACCCGATGGGCTCTACCACGGACACACATGCCTTCTCTAGGGTCATTAAAATATACAAGCAGACCTGTCTATATCCTCACCTACACCCAATTAACAGATACCTCTATCGCTATATCAGACAATTGAGTTGTGTTTCGATTATCAAATGTGCAGTTGATATTAGATGACTGATTTTTTCATTACAAACTAATATTTGTTTTTTCTGTCTCATCAACTTCTAGATGCTATCTGTCCGGCTGCTACTTGGAGTGATATGGAACAATTCGCCGTTAATCTAACTAGCATGTCGTTGACTAACTATTATCCCAATGATTTTTATCTCGATGGAAAAAATAATTATTTCCTCATTGACAGTAATAACCGACGTATTATTAAAATTCGAGCAAATGATACCTCAACATACACTGTGATCGGTGCTCCTAACACGACGTTGTATTACACACCTAACAAGGTGTTCGTTGATTCTAACGGAACTGTTTATTCAGCCGAATCTGGAGTAAGTTTCTGTTTGTCATTCACGTACATCATAAGTAGTAAAAGCCTTCTTACATCAAAAATGAGACATGAATTAAGAGAAAATCTGTCGATGTAATGGTGGATACATTCTGCTCTAAACTTCTCACAAAACTGAAAATGATTGATGTGTAGGTTATGTAACTAACAGAAAGTGAAATTCGATACAGTTTATGATCTTTTGAAAGTATTTTTATAAATTATGATCACCCACCTAACTATTCTTATTGCGCGAAAATGATAGTCTTTTTTCATATCTGATTATCCATTGTTTTAATTGAGCCGATAGGTCAGGTTGTAGGTGGGGGTGTGGTTGAAGATGTCTATCTTTCACGCCCAGACCCAGACACACCCACACCCTCAACTCAAATCGTTTTGGTTTGGTGGATACTCACATACATATTTTACATTGATTTATCTCAACCCTCACTCACATCCGTATCCTCAAAATGATTTCCATCGAGCCCTTGATAGTGTTCATTTGGAGAAAATATTTCATGATTTTCTACTATAAACCCTCTTAGGAAATAAAGAAGACTATAAACTTATTTTTTAATAATCTAATGGAAATAATATGATGTTAAGTTGTTTTAAGTGGGGTTACGGTATTTATGGATACAGTAACTACTACCGGATAGTACAATATGTGGAGGGCAATGGTACAGACGGCACTGTGTTATTCGGAGATGTGACATGCGGTAATCAAATGAATCAGTTGTGCCAGTGTGGTAGTCTTTTTGTTGACCGACAAGGTTTCATTTACTACTCTGATCCAAGTAATTATCGTGTTGTAAAAATCACACCTTTTACAATGATGATGACTGTTATGGCTGGCACTGGAGGTAACGGAACGGCCGGATCGAATCTCGATCAACTGAACAATCCAGCTGGTATATACGTTGACACAAATAATACTTTATACGTGGCGGATACCAGTAACAAGTAAGTTGGAATCTATCATTTAATATATTGATCATTTTCGTGAGCCATGAAAAGTCATTTTTACATAAATAAAACTATTCAAGAATAGGAGTGTACTAGTTCATGGTCAAGAGTTTGCACTAACTAATTCTACTGGTTTTTTTATTGGAACGGAATTGAACTTAGACACTAGATCCATATTCGCGAGGAATAATTGCCTCAGTTAAGAAGAATTCAATATACTCCTATTCAGCAGAACGCAACAATATAGTTCCAGTCATTACGATATATTGGAGACACCTCCTCAATTCTATAAACTCCGTTTTCAACTTATGACGTTATGAATAGACACTGACCACTTGATGAATATTATTTTTTATTTTAGTCGAGTGATGATGTATTTATCTGGTAGTTCACAAGGTACGGTTCTCTTCACAGTTCGATCTCAATATGCACCTTATCGGCTAACATTGGACAAATCAGGAAACATTTATATCTTGACAAGCAGTTACATTTATCGATTCATTCGTCAAGCTGGCGTTTTTAAAACGATAGTCTCTAACTCTAACGGTGCATTTCTCACTGGGATGAATGGATATCCAAACATACAACTAGATACAGCCGGTAATATCTACATATACGGCACTCAATCGATGTATTATACCGATAACGGCATTTGGAAATACGGTCTCATATCCGCCGGATGTTAACATATACCAGTTCTTTCGGAAATGTACTGCTCGTAGTGTTAATGACTACTGTATGATGTGTGTGTGTGTGTGTTCCTTCTATTTTAGATTACAGATTCCGGACTTTTACTTTTTCTAATCAAATTGCTTGTACTCCCAGCTTTTCTGCATCTGTAGTTGTCACTCTTGTGTTCTTTATGCTTTTCAGTATTTCATTTAGTTGAAATTATTCATTGTCATCTCAGCGTAATAATTCTAATCTTTCAATAAAATTTCATTGAAATGGATGTGGGTGTAGATACAGTATAAATATGATACTCACACCCTTAAGATTTCTTTATCTAAAATTAATAACATTGATTGAAACATATGATGATAAAATGAATTTAACAATATCTGCCAGATTACTAGAAATAGGAAAATATGATATTTATCAAAATTTTAGTTTTAATTTTGATCGTTCACTTGAACAATAATCGAAATTCTTAACACATTTAATAATTGATGTTGATTCTTATGAACGAAGGACACATCAATATAAAAATATTGATGCAACTTCTATTTTTCAACATATTCGAAGTCTAATTACACATCTTTATCTTTTTATTGATGAACAAAATCCGCATATGAAAAGAAATCTTAAACAATTTTCATATTGTCTTATTCATCTTATCCTTCATTTTCTCGAAGGTAAAACAAAAGAACTCTAGTTGAAATTAATGAATATAATTGTACCCTATCAGTCTCTTGAAGAATGTCTCATTGGCGTAGATGTATTAATTCATTCAACTTTACAAGCAACTGATAATAATGATTTAATTAATGAGAATCGATGGAAGACTTAATTTCTTCTAAAAACGAAATCTTATTTAATTTAATTTTGAATTTGAGCTTTCAACTTATTATCTTCAATTAGTATTACTCGAATCATTTCGTTCGTACTTTTGGATTAAACAAAAATTTTTGTTCAAAATATTATTCAATAAATATTCTAAAAACTACTTTAGCAAACAATAAATACGTGATTCAATTCTTCTGAAATGATGTATAGTAGTTAAAAGAACGAAATCCTATTGAAACATGACGGACGCGCGAATAAAATCGACCGAAAAGGAAAGAAAAAAGAGCGCAGTCTATATAATTGAATTCCTTGCTTGAATATCATTTAAGTAGACACATGGCTACTATGAAACGAAGTTTAACTTTTAAAAAACTGTCTGAAGAAAATCCAAAGAAATTACGAAGTAAATTCATTTGATTATAATAATATCTGAATTATTTTTTAATAGAAGGTGAATTAAATTCTATTGAAAATTTCTCGAATGAAATCTTCTATGAAATATTTGATTATCTTGATGGTTTGGACATTTGTATAGCATTTTCAAATCTTAATTATCGTTTTCAACAATTACTTATATGTTCATCTTTTCGATATAAAATAAATTTTGATTTTTCCACAAAGAGAGAAAAATTTTTGAATAATTATAAACAAATCCAACATCAAACCCATTCAATTTCTTTTATAATATCAAAAAAATCTATGAATAAATTATTAATATCATTTCAAATTGATCGTTCATTTAATAATCTACAATCAATTCGTATTGATAATATTCCCAAAGATAAACTTATTTTATTACTTGTTCATTTATCTGAATTACCTTGTCTTCATTCATTAAATATCCAAACAACAGATTCAATTGAAGATTTAAGTCATATTTATCAATTAATATTTTCATTGCCAAAATTAAAATCAAATGAATTTTATTTATGTGGTTGTGAATGTTCAATATCAATTCCAGTATCAAATAATACCAAAATAAGTCCAATTGAATATCTAAAAATAGCTCATTCGTATACATTTGATGAACTTAATGCATTAATATCTTATACACCAAATCTTCGTCATCTTAAGCTTTCACATATAAGTAAAGATGAGTCAGATATAGAAGATATGCTACCAGTGAATTTCAATAATCTCATTCATTTATCGATATTTACAGTTTATTTGAACTTTAATAAAGTTGAACTTTTTATTGAAAAAATGAACTCCAAATTAAAAAGTTTACGTGTTACTGCGTATTCAAATCGAGATATAACTTATCTTTATGCTTATCGTTGGGAAAAATTAATCTCACAAAATTTTCCTCAATTAAAAAAATTTTCTTTATGTTTTCGTGAATCAGGATATGGTCGTAATTGTCCGATTTATGATGGAGAAATAAATCAATTCAATTCACCATTTTGGATTCAACGAAATTTGATTTTCGATATAGAGATTTATGAATATAATATTCATTATTATGTCCGTCCATACAAGTACAGATGGTATAATGATATAAATTCTTCTCATGAACATCCGACTAAATCAACTCAATTGACAATCAAATATGTTTATTCTCGTGAGTCTCCTTTTATTCTATTTAATCAAATTAAACGTATTTTAAATGTTACACAAATTTATCATTTAAATATTGAACAACAAATTTCTAATGAAAGATTAATGCAAATAATACATTTATTACCTAATCTTATCTCAATAAATATATATTCTTTAGAATTTTATCGTGAAATTTCATTTCTAAATCAAGGATATCCTACAACATCTGCATTAGAACATGCAAAACAAATAAAATATGTTTACTTAGGCACAGCATCTACTATTAAAGATATTTATTTTCTTATGTCATTTTGTCCTCAAATGGAATATCTTAGTGTTGAATGTATAGAAAATATGAATATTCAACTATTTTTAAAAGATATTGTAAAAGAAATTAATCAAAAACATTATGATTATTTACATTCATTATGTATTTTTATAAGAACAGCAGATGATCAAATGATAAAACAATTAAATGAAATGATTTATGATGAAAAACTTTTATTAGATTATACAATTCATCGACAAAGTTATAATATTTACTTGAAATGGAAATAAGTTTTGTTTTTGTTAATAATCTAGAGATAATATTTATAAATAAACTATATTGTTATATACACCAAAGAATATTTCATCTTTATTTCTTTTAAAATCATACTAAGTTTAACAGCATTAAGGAGATCATTAAAGAAGCAATGCCTTTTGTTAATTATCTTTGTTTGATTTGTCCTCATCCCAGTCCTGAACGTCAAAATTTTCCAGATATTTTACTTGAACAAATTAAAACATTAGTATTACCTCAATATGCAGAATTTTTGGATGATGATTATTTTGTTTGGTCTCGATATTTCCCATGTGTAGAACGATTAGTTGGTACAAAAAAAACAATTAAAATGACATGTAAATGGTTAATAAAACAGACACATCGTTTAAGAAACAGAAATCTCAATGATTTTATTTGTCAAATCAATGACAAATATTTTGATCAGTAAAATCATATTTATTAATAATATTTTATTTTTACCTAGTTTTCGATGAAAATATAAGGAAACAATCCGCAATGGCAAGTAATAGAATAGATAGAACAATTTAATTTGTAAATTTTGTTTATATATTTCTCATTGATATAGGCTATTATTTTTCAACTTTATTGAAATAAAATTATATGTATTTATGTTTCATGTAGATAAACAATAAATAAAAAAATATAATTAAAACGAGGTAGATTTAAATGTTGATAAGGGTGAATGTAGGTAAGGATGGATAATACGACAAGATATGATGGATTTGGATAAAGAAAAGATCGATCCTCTCTCACACCCACACTCTCAAGATTTCGTTTATTTCTAATATTTTTTACTATTCTATTGAATCGATTTATCAATCATGAATTTATTTTTTTTGCTTATTTTACTTCATTCATTCTATTGATATACACTTTTCACACTTTTCTTTTACCAATGGAAGATTATAAAAAAACACTTTTTCAGGTAGAAATTCAGGGACTTCGTTCATCATGCATTGATAATCAACATAATTTTCATAATCGACTTTTGTACTTTATTGAAATGGAAATAAACGAGACGAAGTTCAGAACATTTATTAGTAACTAGAGGAGATACCCGCTGCAAAATCTCTCTCACACAGTTGCCACTGTAAAATCCCTCTCATATGGTCTCCGCTGCAAAGTATTTAAATCTCAAGCACTTTCCGTATCCGACCCCCTCTCCACTTTTCCTTGTATATACAGAAGTGTAATTGATGGTTTAGTGAGGTTAGCTATCACAGAACCACCTGGGTGAAGTTTCACCCACGACCTCCTACCCACCTCTCGATGACCATGCCAATCCCCCTGTCGACCTTCACTGGGATCCAAGGAAGCGTCGTGGAAAGTTTGGGGACCATAGCTATTGCAGGGACTGAATGCCTAGCGAACAGAAGATGTGCGCTCAGACGGCCTTCGCTACCAATTTTTTTTCAACCTTTTGGAATGCTGAAATTCTATCGGTTAGTTTCATAGATTGCCTGTAGCAAGCGTAGGATTGATTTTTTTTCGGAAAAAAATAGATGTCGACCTTCCCCTGGGTGTAGACATCACTTCTGAAAAGTTTTATTGCATTTGCTCGTACGGTCTCCAAATGCATAACGAACGAACAGACAGACAAACTTTCTTCTTTATATATATAGATTAAGTTTTGTTTTTATCCTAATATTTGACAATAGTGTCATCTATGATGAAATAAGATTTTTTTCAATTTTTTTATAATTAAAATAAATATTTCTTGAATGATTTTATTCATTTGACGTCGTTTGTTTTCCACAATCGAAACAAGTCCGTGACAACTTCAACACGTAGGTCTAAATACACTGTAAAATATACAATTATCATGGTTGAATAGTTTTTTCATATTTGTTTTATCGTTTGACGTAGGCAAAAATTATTTTCTTGGTAATTATACATTCATTTACCTTTATTCTCTTCTCATTACAAGACGTATCTTTTTATTATTACAAAAACAAGAAGAAAAACTGGCAATGGCAAATAATCTAAACAACAATATATCTTCTGACAATGTGAATCGATTGAAAGAAGTATGAAAAGCTTTTCTTTTCCAATCTATATACTTTTCCTTTTTAGTTAATCAAAGCTAAAATTATATCAAAGGAATATACAATTGATGGTATTGATATGGATTTGAGTTTTACTAAGCTAAAAGATGATGATTGGCCTATTGTATTCGAACAAATACAAAATAAAGATTATCCTTTACGAGGTTTATCAGTATCATGGGATGCAACTAGTAATAAAATGATCGAGCCTGGTTTTATTGAATTTATTAAAATAATTGAAAATCATACAACATTGATTCGTTTCAAATTCTTTTTATATTCCATTTCTGATAATACGAAAACGAATTTTTTATTAGACGCATTAAAAAAAAATTGTTCGATCAAAAATGTATCAGTAGATGCAATCGGCGTTAATGAACAAACGACAAAAGCATTTGCAGAAGTACTGAAAGATAATCAATCGATACTTTCACTCAATTTTTTGAGCTATAATCATATCGATCCGCGGGAGTAAGTTTGTCTAATGGTTAACTTTGAACAATATATTTTTTTAGACCTCCATATCCTATGTTCTATGAATGTGCTACTGATTTATCTCATTCAATACCAACAAGCGTTCTTCAACGACTTAAAATTGGTTATATTGATGATAGAAGTTTCAGTATATTAATACCATCATTAGTAAAAACGTTACATGTTCTTGATTTATCGGAAAATGAGTATTTTTCACCAGATATTTCTACCTTTCAATCAAATAATAATACCCTGAAAGTATTCATTCTCCATCCTTCCGGATTTGAGAAATTCAAACAATCAAAATTATCTTCAAAAATTCATGTTGTTAATCGTGATAGTTTTCTAGGCAAATTATTTTCTCACAAAGGTCCTATTTCTATAACACCACATACAATGAATAAAACTGATTGGTCTATATTATTGACGGAATTAACAAATGATATTAATAGTTTACGTGAAGTAGATTTAGATTTGTCTAATGGATGTGATGAAAATTATTTGGAAGATTTATTAGGTGCCCAATCGCAATTGAAGAATTTGAAAATAAGTGGCACATCATTAAATCAATCAATTCAAGAAAAATTATTCCAGATATTGAGTAAAAACACATCGATTATTAAATTTGAAATGAATACAAAAATTGAATTAAATATTCTCAAATATTTGATCGATTTTTTGGCAAAAAATAATAATATTGCTCATTTGAAATTTTACGAATGTGCAAATCTGGGTGATCAAGAAGCTATTGTGCTAGCTGATGGTTTAAAAATGGCTACGAATTTGAAAAGTTTCCAAGTGGATAACAGTGACATAGGTAATAGTGGATTTCAAGCTATTCTCTCGTCTTTACCAGATTCATTAATTGTATTACACTTTACACATAATTGTCTAGATGCAAAAATTTTACCTTGGTTTGAGAATTTTATCAAAACTCATCCAAAGATTAAAGATGTTTCTCTCGAAAATAATCCTATAACTCTTAACAGTGCACCTAAATTAGATGTAGCTGGTTTGATAGATCAAATATTAAAAATTACAAATGCAAATCAGTGTAATTGTTATTTGGAAATCTACACAAAGATCCAAGATATAATTGCTGAAACAACGCGTTGCATTTGGTTACCTAGAGAGCATAGACGAGATTATGATTTACTCGAATTATACAATGAAATGAAGAAAAATCCAACGAAATATTGGTCAATAAATATGAGATCTAATTCTAATATGTCACTTAATGCATATAATATTTTTCTTGATATTCTTAATTGTGATATTCGTGTTGCTGAACTTTATCTTGGAGAGGATGATATGAACGAAGAAATGCAAAAATATTTTTTCAAAGATTTTCGTGATAATAATACAGTGGAACATTTGGATATATCACACAATAAACTTTGCAGTCAAGCTATGAAATATATTGGATCTTTTTTAAAACATAGCTCCAAAACTTGCGTATTTACATTACGTAAATGTCAAATTGATAGTGAAGGAATTCGTTATTTATGCAAAGGCTTGTCTGAAAGCCGTTTATATAGTTTATCTTTAATTAATAATCCACTTGGTAATGATTCCTGCGCAAGACTTTTTTCATCTATTCCTCCTTCATTGAAGTCATTATCACTTTGGGGTGATGACATACCTGAGTCATCCTTACAAACAATTATTGATTTTTTGAATACAAATAAAACATTAGAAACACTTAATCTGAAGTTCAATCCAGTTTATGATAAGCATGTCGATCAATTAGAACAAATAGCAAAACAAAATGGTATTTGCAAATATGCCACACATCCTGAATAAGAACATCATCTATATGACGCGGCTTAGCTGAGTTAATATGAACTATCACATAACCACTAATTCTTTTTACCTTTTATTCTTTTTTAATACTAACAGAATTCAATATTAATGTAATTTTACAGTACTATTCAAAATTCTTACCGCTAGAAAATAATTACAAATTTGACTTTTCCAGGAATATATGTTCGTTGGCTATACTATACGTTGGCTATATAATATTGACACTACATTTTTGTAACAGAAGCATGGGATGCGCTCGTGCTATTCATCACGAAATAAAGATATCATCAATGCCTATCTATTACAATATAAATAAATTGAAACAAACAAATTCACTCAAACAATGAAGAGAGAATGATCGACTATGTGCCACACGGAAATAGAAAAAATCTATATTGCTCAATATATTCAATGTAAGAATCAAATAACCCTCAGTGAAATTGAAGAAAAATTATCTTCTTTCTGCTGCTAGACAAGAATTTTGTCAAAATTAGTGTTTACAACAAGATAATGATCCTAAGCATACTAGCAATATTGCCAAACAATTCATCAACAACAAGGTGCCACAATTATTGACGTGGCCATCCAATAGTCCAGATGTTAATTCTATCGAGAACTTATGCTCGATCGTAAAACGCTAAGTTGAAAAAAAGAAAACCGAAAAATATTGATAAACTAGAGTTTTTTTATGTGAATTAAGACTTTAAAAATATTGATGTTAATATTGTAGAGAAAATTGTAATGTGGATAAAAAAACGATGTTTGTCTCTTATTGAATCTTAAGGCGAACGAATAAAATATTGAAGTATAGTGTTTAATAGTACTCGACATAGGCTATCAATCAGTAATGGAAACTACTTGAGAGTGACTTATAAATGAGGATATACATACATAACAAGATGTGCAAGTTTTTTTGAATAGTACTGTATAAAATTTCTTTTATTAATTAACTCTGTGTGTGTGTTATATTGTGTTGCACTTTAAAATTTATATGATTTACTGATATCTTTACTGCATTTCTTTCAGACAACTGTACGATACGGATTATGTACATAAATATTATTTTGTAATAATGTATCTATCCCTTTTAGAAGAAGAATAATAACTATAGACACAACGTATATGTCATTTTTTATTACAATTGTTTTTTATATTAATAAATTCAATATGTTATTGCAACAGTATGAAATTACGAAAAACGCAAAGTTGAATTAAACTACTACAGCTACTAAAGTACTGTTCTTCTCTGTAGTATTAATTGGCACCATTGGAATATCAGTAACAGCACCAAGTGCAGTATTTGTAGCAGCAGCAGGTTCAACTTTGGCATTAGGGAAACGTGTTTTTAAATAACAAATAAGACCACCAATGATCAAAAGTAACGCGGGAATACCAATACCCATAGAAAGACCAAAAATCAATGCCAAGTTTGGTTCATCTTCAAATCAATATAAAATATTTTAATATATGTTTAGATAATTAGTTGCTTACCTTCTGAAGGAGGAGTTACTTCTATTGCTGATGTTGTTGTTGTTATCGCTGTTGTTGTTGTCTCTGTTATTGTTATTGTTGTTGTTGCTATTGTGGTTGTTGCTGTTATGGTTGTTGCTATTGTTGCTGTTCCTATTGTTGTTGTTCCTATTGTGGTTGTCGCTATTGTGGTTGTTATTGTTGTTGTTCCTATTGTGGTTGTTGCTGTTGTTGTCGCTATTGTGGTTGTTGTAGTTAAAATAGTTACAACTGCATTTGTTGGATGTGTTTCACAATAATTATCGCGAATACCAATATCATCAATTGCATAATAACCTTGCATTTGTGCAGTAACAGTTCCTTCGATAACAATCTATTTCGAAAAAAATTTTAAAATCCTATAGTAATAATTTAAAAGTTTATATTACATTATGTTCAATATCTGCATAGTAACCAACTGAAGCAAAATGCCATGATTCACCTTGATCATCAGTACCAAATGACCATATCATTGTTGATCCTTGTGTACTTGTAATATTAACATCAACATGATCTAATTGACTACCACGCATAACATACCAAAATGTTATACAACGACCAGCACGTGATGTTGGTTCAAACATTTCAGTTTGAATAACGGCAACTGCTGTCTGTTGAGTTGTGAATAATGAATTCAACAAGAGATATTGACCTTGGGTATTTCCTATTTAATAGATAAGATACATAAAATTTGTTTTATTTTTCTACTTATCAAAAAAAAATGATATTCAAACCTAAAGTATGATCATTTTGAGGTCCACTATAAGGTGATGGTGATGAACCTGAGCCAATAACCCAACTAGCATTTCCAAAATGTAACAATGACATCCATGTACACATTCTAAAATAAGAGAAAAATTGATGATAGAAGAAAAATTTATTTCTTTATAACAAAAAATTACCCATTTTCAAAATCACAGTTGCCTGGTTCGAGACAAGCTCGATCACGAATGAAAACATCATCAATAGCAATAACTGGTGAAGTGGCACCGGATTTATAAACAACACCTTCAAAAATAACTTGATATGGTGATAGAGCAAGACCATGTGGAATACGTTGTTGTGAAATACGCCATTGACGTTCCTATAAAATTCAAAATGATGTTTGTTTTTGTTATTTATTTTTCATATAAATATAACTTACGTTGGAAATACTTCTTGACCAAATTAAATAATCAGATGAATTCGATGTTGTTGTACTTGATCGTATAAATAAATTTAATTTTGATGATGTATTAAGTATGTCAGCATCTGTATAATACCAAAATTCAATACATTGCTCTCCATTAGAACTTGTTGTTTGTGACATAAGACGAGCTCGTTGATTTGATATTGTTGCTGATGGTTTAGAAATATCAATAAGCATATATGCACCATTACTTGTTCCATCTGTATGATCAGCTGTTGGTTTAGAACCACTTGCTAATGGATCATCACCAGTTGTACGTACCCAATTGTATTGTGTTGAAGCATCATTAACATAATTACATATTGATGCATCTTCAAATGTACAAAGACGATTCTCATTTCGACATGAAGTATAAACAACAATATCATCAAGAGCAATATCACCGAGATAAGATCTTGATTATTTAGAATAAATTCAAATGAATAAAAATGAAGAATTGTTTTTATAAAACTTACTGTCCAACAATGCCTTCAAATACAATTTGATATTTTGTATTTGCTGGTGGAAATACTGCATATTGTCCTTTCAACCATAGATTACCTAATAAAAGAAAACAGTGAATAATTAAACTAGATATATATACATATTTAAAAGAAAGTTTACCTTGATTTCTAGATCGTGTCCAAACTGGTTTATTAAGTTGACCATTTATTTTAATATAAATATTTAATGTATCAACATCCATACCATACATATGATACCAAAATTGTATACATCGTTGTCCTTCGATTTCTTCTGTTTGTATACGACAACGTTGATTAGATTGTTGTGGATAACTAGCGTCCATATATATATACCAACCACTTGGTGTTCCATAAGTATGATCTGATAGACAGAAAAAGATTTAATGAAAACTAATCAGTTTTTAATTATTTTCTACATACCAACTGAAGGTCCAGTATTAGCTGATGATGTTTGACCTTGGCTTACTTCCCATCGAAAATCAGCAGACACATCATATGACCATGTTGAACAAAGAACACCTTGTTCAAAATTACAATCCAATGATGATTGTGGTGCTAAAGTTGTTCGAAGTGTAGTTGTTGTTGATGGCATAGTTGTTTCAACTGTTGGTACTGCATCATGAATTGGTCGAATTGAACAATTGCTTGTTGTAAATGTAAAATCATCAATTGATATATCACCCTAAATAAATAAAAATAATTTTTTAAAATAAATAATTGAATTTTTAACTTACCAAATAATCTATTCCAGCAATACCTTCAACAATAATTTGATGTCGAATTGATGAAACATATGAAACTTGACCTTCATACCAATTGTTACCACGATCACCCGATAATGACCATAAACGTGTATATGTACCATTGAAAAGATAAACATTTAATGTTCCAATGTGATCACCATACCTAAATAAATAACATAAAGAATTCATTTTATTAATAGAATATAAACTTACATATGATACCAAAATCGAAAACATCGAGAATCTCCATTTGTTTCATCAAAAACAACACTTTGTAATCGCGCACGATCACCTTCTTCTGTTGGCCATGATGTCTCAATCATTAAATATTTTCCTTGTGCTGTATTTGTTGTATGATCTATACAGGAATAGAGAGAATAATAAAGCAAAAACAATTTTAATATATTCGATTTTGTCATACCGTATTGTGGTCCAGTTCCAAATGAATGTATACCTTGTCCAACAAACCAATCCATATTTGAATCACTATCACCATTTGTCCAACCACATAAACCACTTTCAAATGTACAATCTCCTGGTTTTGGACATAATCCTCTTGTAATTGATACATCATCAATAGCAACACTAGCATCGGGATTTTGTGCTAGAAGTTCACTTTCAAACACGGCTTGCCATGGTTGACTTGGACTATTAATATTTATTTGTGCATATAACCAACGATTATCTAAACTACCATCATGAGACCAAAGAATTGAACTTTGTGATAGTACATAAACATTTAATTTCATTTGTTTTGTTGCTGCATGTTGAAAATACCAAAAATGTAAACATGAACCAGTTGTACGATCTTGAATTGGTGTTAATAGTAATGCACGATCATTTGCATTACGATTTTTTCCTTCAGCTAACATATAGTAACCTTCACGTGTTTGAGTTGTATGATCAACATCTGGATTAACACCTGCTTGAACAATAGATGCTAAACTACGTGTCCAATTGAATTGTCCTGTTGTACCATATTGAAATCCTATTTAGAAAAAAGTTGATATATTTACAAAAGAATTCTTTATATTTTCTGTATCATACCACAAATTGAATCATCAGAATCAAAATTACATTGATAAGATGATGTTCGACATGTACCATTAAGAAGAATAATATCATCAATAGCAATTGAACCACGATTATCTCCTGACCAAGTACCTTCAATAGCAATCTATAAAGAAATATATATATAAATTTATTGTCATTTGATAAAAGAATAACAAACATTAAATTGTGTTGGATTGCTTGTTGATGATTGAAGATTAACTTGTGCATGATACCATTCATAACCTTTTCCACCTGTTGTTGACCAACGTAATTGTGAAAATGCTCCTGAAAATTTTTCAACATTTAAAGTACCAACATGTGGACCATACATAAAATACCAAAATTCTAAACATTGAGGATTATCAGTCATTGTTGAACTTCGTAATTCACTTGTAATATTATTCTATAATAAATATTGAAGAAAAAAATATATTTCTAATAAAACAGTGCTTACATTAGGAAATGGTGTTGTTGTATTAGGTTTGAGTAAAAGATAATATCCATGTGCTTGATTTCCTGTATGATCATATATTGGATTATGTGCATCTTCTTGTGTTGCCACTACACCTTGTGCTCGTGTCCAAGCAAGTTCAGGTTTAGAAATGATACTCCATGATGCACATGCAGCACTTTCAAAATCGCAGTCAAAAGTTGTTGGTGGATGTGATGGTGTTGTTCTAAAAACAATTTAGAGAATATATTAAATTCAATAAAAACCATCTCATTTGTCAACTAACACAGTTGTTATTGATGGTGCTGCTGTTGTTATTAAACTAGATTCCGGTACAGCATGTTGTGGAAGTAATGTACAATATCCATTGGTTATTGATATATCATCAAGAGCAATATCACCTTCTCCATATTGAGTTGTTTTACCTTCGATTAAAATTGAATGATCATTATTGGCAGCAAAACCAACTTTTCCTTGAAACCAAGCATCTCCTTGTTCATCTGCCAATGTCCACATTGGCAATGGTTGAAAACCTTCCATTTGTAAATAAACTGTTAATCTACCAACCCCTGGACCATACCTTAAAAAAATTTCAATACATTTTCTTTTCAAAACAAAAATTTTAATATTTACATATGATAGAAAAATTCTAGACACATTCCATTGACATCAGTACTTGTCATTGATTGTGAAACAAGTATAGCTGTATCATTCATATTTCGATTTTTATTTGTATCAATATATGCATATGAACCCTCATCTGTTCCGAATGTATGATCTTGAAATGGACCTAGAATAAAATAAAATTATTAAAGTTTTTCTTTTTCTTTCTATTGTATATATTTCCTTACCACTAGCAAATGTCCCTGTTGATGATGCACCACTTGTTATCTCCCAATCAAATTGATCAGTTTTAATATTTTCCCATCCACATAAATTATCATCTTCAAAATCACAATTATTTGGTTCTTTACATGATTTACTTAAACGTTGAATATCATCGATTGCAATATCACCCTAAAAATAATATTCGAAAAATTTTTATTTGTAAAATAAAACGAAACTTTCTGACTTACTTCGATACCATTACCAATAACACCTTCAAATATAATACGAAATGATACTGTATATTCAGTTGAAACATGAGCTTTACGCCATACATCACCAATATTAGCACCACGTGACCATAGAAGTGTACGTACATCATTATTTGATATATTTGTATTTACATAAACATTTAATTGACCAATATTTTGACCGTACATATGATACCAAAATTCTAAACATCGACCTTTTTCTGGTTCTTCAACAACTGATATTAATCGTGCTTTGTAACCCGCTTTTTGTGGATTACCAATATACATAAAATGACCCTGTGCTGTTCCTAGTGTATGATCTAAACATTCAAATTTGATTTAAAAAAACATAAAATAAATATAATAAAAATGATTTTATTACCTTGGCTAGCACCAGTTAATGTTGATGGTGTTGAGCCTTGACCTCTATTCCATGGAAATTGTCCAGTTGGATCAGATAAATATCCACAAATATGTTCTTCTTCAAATGTGCAATCAATTGTATAAAAATCTGATTTAATACATGGTCCATCAATAAGTGTAAGATCATCTAATGAAACTTCTGATCGAATATTCCATCTTGCAAAAATATAATACATAACACGTGTTATTTGATTTCCTGGATCAATTTGTACTCGACCATGGTGCCAATGACGTCCTTGATTACCTGATCGTCTCCAAAAAGATTTTGGTGAAGTAAAATTTTCATTAGCAACTAAGAAAAGATTTAATTCAATATCATCTGTACCATGCATCATATACCACCAATCAGCACACATTGGACCTGCTGTATTATCTGGTAAACGTGGACTAACTAGCGCTGATATATCAATATCTGAAAAACGAATGTCTGGAATTTCTTTTCTACAGGTAACATAATATCCAGTTGAATTTCCATATGTATGATCAGTTAAGGGACCAATAACATCAGCAAGTGGATTTGATGCTGGTTGTTCACGAAACCAATCGAGAGTAGTATTTTGACCTTGTGTCCAACCACACATGTCTTGTTCAAATGTACAATCATAACCAGGAACAGTTTTTGATGTTAGTGATCGAATTGTTCGAGAAGGAGACGATTTTATAGCTAAGAAAACAATTAAATTTATTATATTTAAATCATTTAAAAACAAATCGTACATGAAGGACATGGTTGATGATTGATTAACATATCTTCTAATTTAATTTCTACATTGTCTGTTAATTGTCCATCGAAAGCAATACGAGTTGCTGTTCTTGTTAAACCAGGTGTTGTTGAAGATGAAATATTCAACTGAACTTGAGTTTGACTAGATAGATTGTATTTTTGTTGAATAAATTAAATAAAAAAGAAAATATTTTTATTCAAACGTATGTTCTTGAACTAATCGACTACGCCAAATATGTTGTTTATCAATAAAAATAGACAATTTGTTTGTTTTATCACCAGTTATTTCATAGGTAAAAGTAAGACAAGATGGTGAATCTCGTGAAGCTAAATGTGCGGTGCCTATTAAACGAGCAGAATGCTGTTCAGATGATTGTAGAATTTCTTTATCATCAGGATATTTTAGAATAAATGAGCGTTTTTCTATACAACAAAGCTAGGCAACTTCAAAATAAATTAAAATTAAAATAATTACCTGCTGTTGTAGAGGGGAATTGATGCCATTCTAAATTCTGGTTATTGTCAAGGTCATTTTTCCATTCTGGGTCTTAATAAAAAAAAGTACGATTTATGACAAAAAAAAAGAACTTTTTAACCTACTAACCTTCATGAGGAATAGGTGATGTAACTACAACAAATAAAAAAGATTTTTTGTAATATTTTTTCGAAAAGTCATCTCAATAAACTTACCCACAATACCAACAAGGTATAGAAAAAAGAGAAAGAACACAAAATGGTCCATAGTCCTCGTTTTTGAAAAACAATCTAACATATAAAATTGTATATTTATATTCTCGACTCTTGGTACATTCAACTGCGTTTTGAGTAAGTTACATATGCTTTAATAGAAGTGTAACTTTTAGTCTTATCTTTTTTTGTTTGTTACCTTTTTGAGTAGTAGATAGTTATCTCTCTCTCTCCTTTATATTTCGAGTCTTATATTAGAGGGATCAGGTGGTTTCAACAATCTGCATAACAAAACAAATCCTAAATTAAATTAAAAATCGAAATGACTTCCAATATTAATTTAAGAATTATTTTTGAAAAAACAGCAGATAATCTAGTATCCAACAGGTAAGGATGTCTGAATATGTGATTCAAGCTACCGTTGGTAACGTTCTTAAAGGGGTGAATCAATTTCGATCTTGCTCAAGGGTCTCATCAGATAATTTTGACTTAGCAGCTACTCGACTTCCACGGGAATTATCTTTTGTAGAGGACGGAGAAGAGGAATTTCCGAGTCACCGCCTGACTAAGACTTTGGTTTCAAATGAATCGATCAATTTGGATTGAGTTTCATGAGGCAGAAGTTCAGTCCGTGTAATCGAGTGTCATATCGAGAACAGAATATCAGAGACAATTTGAGTTTCTTCCAGATAATTCAAAAGAAACATTGCTGACTTTGTCGTTGTCTAACTGTTTTCTTGATGACAATCGAGTCAATGCAGAAAGCAACATCCTCAGTTAGATATAGGGGTATCACTTTATCTTTACTTTATTGATAAAGATAAAGATAATCTTTATTTGCTAAACTACAGTTAAAATAAAGAATAAATATACGTTTTTTCATGCAATAAGTACGTATGCAAATACCCTGTATAACAACTGAATACGTTTATTAATGCTCTTTCTTATCATCATCACCCTTTCTATATGCCATATCATCAAAAAAAAGAACACACAAGAAACGATATGTACGAAAAATGCTATTCTATATTATGGTTAACTATATAATATCCTAATTTTTGTGAGCTACTCTAAGAAAATAAAAAAAGTACGTTTCGACAGAAAAAAAAATCTTTATTTTTTATTTTATCGTTATTTTATAAAGATTACGAAAAAATTCTTTATCTTTATAAAACAAATGTAAAGATTGACTTTATTTCTTTATCTTTATTTCTAAAACAAAGATTATCTTTAGTATAAGCGCATCCAATTGTAAGTGGTATGACGATCATCCTTTAACATTCCTTATGAATATACCTATGATTATTAGTTGAGTCTCATGATATTCCTCACATCCATACCCAAACAGTGGGTGTGGATGTAGGTTTGGGTATCATATTCAAATCGTATCTACACTCACCATCCACACCCGCTAGATGACTTAAATGGACTGGTTCATAGGCAAATGTAAATATTTCCGTAAGTATCAACATTTTTTGTGAAATGCTTTTTTAGATGAATTAACTTGTTTTATGTGATTAATCTTTGTTGATTGTAAAGAGACCTTCTTGATTAGTCTGACCTGAAACAGACTGATATTCGCTTGCAATTGCTGCTACATATGTTTTTCTTACTATGTTTCCTGGGCTCCTTTCTCTATTAGTTAATTATGCTTTGATACATTGTATTTTATTTGATACCAACAATCATAACTGTTACGGAGATATGTTCAGACATGATGATAAATAGAATGCGTTAATATAAAATAAATTCAAAAGACTGTGTTGATCTATTGTGACAGAATCGCAGAACTTTTTTCAACAAATATATCATTGGCAGTTGTTAGCGAGAAATAATCAGACTATACCATGTTGTTGGTATTAATATGAGAAGATGGGTGTGGGTATCATGTTTATATCGTATCTATACGCACTATCTATACCCTCCATAAACGTATACAACTTCTATGAATCATATTTTCTATTCTTCTCTTACTTGTTCTTCTTCTCTATTCCTTTTATCATAGAATTAATTAATATGTCTGCTCACATCGGCATTTTTCTCGTATTCTCAGATAATACATTGATTTATTACAACTGAGGTAATAATAAGCTACATCTCGATCGATTATATATTTTATCAATTCTTCTTACTATAATATTGAAAAAAAATCTTTTGATCATGGCATGCACAGCATTTAATGATGATGAAATTACAGAATATTTCGACGCACCAGGTCAGACTTTTTGTCTTTTTTTCATGTGCATTTCATATCTTTGTGTATATAGATGAATTGGATCAAAAAATCAAAACTTTAGCACAATTTATTCGTGTTGCAAAACATTTTGTTGTTTATACTGGAGCAGGTGATTCATATTTTTCTCTTCTTCAAAACATAATCTCTATGTCACAACAGGTATTTCAACATCTGCTGGTATCAATGATTTTCGTGGTCCTTCAGGTGTTTGGACTGCTCGAGCGAGAGGTATTGTTCTACCATCACGAACGGTTCCTAATCCTGAACCAACATTAACTCATATGGCTTGTGTAGAGTTGATGAGAAAGAATTATTTGAAATTTTTAATTTCTCAAAATTGTGATGGTCTTCATTTAAAAAGTAGCATATCACCGAATAAAATTGCTGAATTACATGGCAATTCTAATTGTGAAGCTTGTGCAAAATGTGGAAAAATCTATTATAGAGAGTCACATATCAGACAATGTGAAAATAAAACTTGGCTTACAGGAAATATATGTGCAATTCCAAATTGTAACGGTCGTTTACGTTGTACAACGGTTTCATTTAGTCAATCGATGCCTGATATTTGTTTGGATAAAGCCAAGAATGAATCGCAACTATGTGATTTAAGTTTATATATGAGAACATCTATGCGAGTTTCACCTGCACGTGACCTCCCATCGATGAATTTAGAATCGGGACAAAAAATGGTTATTGTTAGTAAGTCTCTTATCAAATTCCTTGATATTCATTATATTATTCAACTGATTGATGTAGATTTACAAAAGACACCATATGATGATCTTTGTGAATTGAGAATCTTTGCACGATGTAATAATGTCATGAGTATGTTAATGAAACAATTAGATTTAACTATTTCACCTTATATTGATTTGAAATTATGGTCAAATGAACAATGGTTAGCTGATTTTGAACAGAATTGGACTTTCCAGTAACTATAGATAGTAAATGAATACAAGAATATTTTTCTTATCTTTGTTTTAGAACTACTGGTAATACAGACTGGTTTTCTGCTGATATCAAAATCGAGTTTTGTTGTATCTGTTGTAGAAGTGAACAGATTCTTGCTAATTTTAATTGCGTCTCTGCTTTATATATATATTTAAACAAGAAAAAGAAAAAATCGAACTTTTCTATTTGAAATTATTATTTATTAAAAATTAAAACATTGATAATACCAACTATATATTGAATATTGTTCTTATCCTTTACGTCTTTCAACAGAGAAGTTCAAGTAGATGATTATTTTATTGTCAAAATCATAAGATGTTTTTATAGAAAAAAAATGAATTAAAACTTATTATTGTCAAATATATAATCACAAAATAAAATACGCCTTAATGGGTGAAGAAACAATACCCATATTTCCAAGATTCTTTTTTTTGAACTAAAAGAAAAAATTTCATCGACAAATGATCATTCGAGAAAACTCCTGTAATCTATCGAAAAGTGCTTTACGATAAACCGTTCCACCACTTAATGTGTACACATAAAATGGCATTCCATTGGTCACATAACTGAACAATATGAATACATTAAGAAGTAAAGTATCAATGGCATTTGTAAGTGGAGAATTGATATCGTATTGAGTAATAACCGTGTAAATACTATAACAAGCTTGAGGAAGTGAAAAGAGAATTACGAGAGTAGTTTGTACACAAAGCATGATAAGAAGTTGATGGTCGATTTTCTTCATTCGTGCCGATCTTTCGTTCGCAACAGTTGTTTGTGTTGATGATGTTGCGATAATTGGCTGAACTTGACGTAGAGCAGATTTATGAACATTATGAATGGTCATTAATCCAAAAATAATCATTAATAAAGAAGGAATAAGAACGGAAAGTAAAGCAAATTCCAGATTGTGAATTAATCGACATAATATTGATCTGCCATAACATGTTATTGGATAATCTATAGGAATGGCTACAAAACAATAAAAGTATTGAACATAGACTAAACTTGAGAGAATAATGACGAAAATAATGCCTCGCTGAGTATTTTTCAATGTACTCATTTGTCGACGATGAACATTAATCGATGATAAAAGCCATCGATCAATTATGGCTAATGCAATTAGCCAGAATGCAACAGTTCTTGATGTAGATAGAAAAAAGAAACGAATTTGACAGAGAATATCATTCGTTGCGGTTAGATCAGCAGACCAACCAGTTAAGAAACGAACACCAACACCATCGATCAATGTAATCAGACTGGCAATAGATGATGCGAGAAATAATAAAGAACAAGAATTGGAAAGTAGTGTTCGTTGAGAAAGAGCCAAACAATTGAGAAGATTACCAATTATACCAAAGAAAAAAATACCGATTGGTAGGTAACGATTGATTTGTGTAGTAATAGCAGCTAAAATTGCAATTAGAGCTGCTTCTGTTGAGTTTGAAGACATTGTAATCGAATTAAATATATTAAATCTATCTATTAATGAATTCTTTAATGAGATTTCTTTACTTTTTTCTTTGTTTTCTAATTGCACTATTAGATGGCAACTCAAACATGAATAAGTACTATATTATAGAGAAGAAAAATTAAAAGGACAAATTTAATAATGTACTTATGTTTTCTATATCTTCGAAATGTTAACGAGAGAGTTTGATCGAATTCTTAAAAATTAAAAAAGTAAGTGACAGCTGCGGAGATTGTGTCCATTTAACAGTATAACAATTATACATCGATCAACGTATTACGCATCTAATCATCTGAGAGATTCGACTTTGAAGTTTATAACTTAACGTTCAATTAGAATAACTGCATACTGCAAGAGAAAACAATATGTAAAAATAATTTTATCTTTTACATTATGATTTTAACATAATCAAGGAACAGAGAAACGTTTCTAAACTGTCATGAATAGATTTCAAATCTTTTACATTTGAATTTACATTTAAAAGCATCAAACAGAAATGAAGCGGACTGTAGAAATTGATCTTCTCGAATACAAAATTTGAAAGCTCGTAAATTTTTCTATAATTATACATTTATTGACACACGTACTTGGTTTTGCTTATTATTTCTCATCATTCCTTTCATAGTTATGTCATAGATAAAATGGATGTATCTATATTTACGAGCGAAGGTTTCTAAGTGTGAATCTCAGTTTATAACGAAATATATCCAGGTTTGTCGAGTATTCACTACCTTACATAGGATAGCGACTCGAATCTATGATAATTCAATTCGTTTTATTGATATAAACGTAGGAAAATGTCAATGTTGTTATCGAACCATTCGAATACTTCTACTATTAAATTGAAACGCAATGCTATAGTCAGCACCTCTCTGTAAAGATAAAAGAACCTTAAATAATACTTTTTCAAATGAATTTGGTCTCAATCGTTATAAACTTACTATTTACAGCTAGAGATTTCACTGACTTTAACAAGTGAGATGCTTTAGCGCGTCTTGTCGAATGAGTTTGTTTTCCATCAGTAAAACGTACTATTTTTAATCAGGAACTTTCATGATTCTCACGAGTGAGATGCTTTTATACGTCCTATTTAATAAGTTTCTTTCTCGTCAATAAATCTTATTATTTTTAGTTAAGCACTTCCATGATCTTCACGAGTATGATGCTTTAACATGTCTTATCGAATGAGTTTGTTTCTCATCACTAAAATTTATTATTTTTTGTTAAGTACTTCCATGATTTGCACGAGTGAGATGCTTTTATACGTCTTATCGAATGAGTTTCTTTCTCATCAGTAAAATTTATTATTTATAGTTAGGTATCTGTTTATATATTTATATTCTTTTTCTTTTATCTCGATCAATTATTCATTGGTATGACGCATCTTGAAGGGGATGTGAGTTTTATACTAATCTTAATCATATTCACACCCTCTTTTTCTCTGTTATCTTTATCGATATTGACTATTGTTAATGAATGTTCAAAATACAAAGGCTTAACTATTATTTCAATAATTTTAAGAAGCAGAATCAATTGCTCAAAATGAGTAACCAAAATATTTTTGAGAACATCATATTCAATAGATTTTGAGAAATGCAAGTTCAACAGGACAAATAAACATTTTTCGACTTTGGATTAATCGCCACATGGGTGTAGTCATGGAATCAAACTTCCAACAACACTCACTCACGTACACCCATTCTCAGCCAACTACGTATTTAATTTATTTTGTCACATACATACAAAGTAGTTTTGATTCCATAAATAATTTTCTATTTAATAATATTGTATTGATGCGGCAATCTCAACCGAAAGTTGAATGTAAGTTTCTAAGTCGTTTTTTTTACTCATACGAATGATTTTCTGTTGTAGATCAGAATGATACACATTTTTACCATGCAAAAGAAGAGTTTGTTGCAGACAATTGTATACTTCAGAGATTCATAATTACAACGGTAGCAAGAAAATATAGAAATGTCAATATTATCTGATGTTGTCGACATAATTCATTTTCACCAGCAAGAATAGTACAAATTGTCTTTTCAAAGCTGTTATGGCATGAGAAAATCAATAAACAATACAATTCTGGAAGACGTCTCATGTTCTCATGTGTTTTGTTTTAGAACTTTTTATTTTTAAATACTTTTAAAAATAAATTTCCACTAGTTGTTTCAGTAAAGAAGACGACTGGATGCCATTAATTAGTCTAAATTGTTTTAAAAAGATTAGAGATAATTGTATTTTATTAGTATTCAGGGCACATCACATAGAATATAGAAAAAGCTTTCATATTTCATTATATCTATTAAGAGAAATGATACAGACAGATCTATGAAATGTTGTCTCTCTAAATAAATATAATGAAATCTCATATGTTTTTGATGATCCTGTTAGGTGATGGTATCTAAACTTCGCTTTCCTTGTCCATATGCGTGTTCTTATTATTTCTTTCACTAACCTATATATGGCCGCCGACATTTCTTGAATAAACGAAGAAGTTCGATACAAATATAATTCATATCTAACAATCGCCTATGTAAAATTTTCCTATAGTGGAAATTCTAATTCAGACTTTGTTTCTAACATGAACAATATTATCATATATAGCTTAGCTGTGGATATTTAGTGAATTTTTTCAAAAAATAAAACTATGAGAAGAGATCCAAATTAAATATATCACTATTTGCAATAAAATATTAGCTAATTAATAGTTTTTTTTGTAAAAAAACAGAGCAACATATAGTGTTTCTGTTTTAAGTTTTATTCAAGTTCATAGAATAAAAATACACTTTAATATTTAAAATCTTTTTAATGACAGTCATTTATGACAGTGCAGGTAGTACTTTATTCGAACGCTTTTTTATTCTTTTGATAATAGATATTTTAAGTGAATCTGTAAATTGAAATAAAATAATCATAACAACTAATATTGAAAGACTACCGAATAAAAATATAATTCTAAAATGATATTTTGGTGCACTATCAAAAAATGCCATAATCATAAAGAGTGTAAATGGAAAACCGACTGTGATTATAGTTGTTATCATTATAACTGCACGTCGAACCATTTTTAATTCTCGTTGTGCTCGTGATAAAGTATTTGTTGATGTTACACGTTTACCCATTTTTTTAATATATCGAAGTAATTTAAAATAAACAAGCATAATTAATATCATAGGAAGGATATAATCGACAAACATCATATATATCATTAAAAAGTAAAATCCAAGAACCATTTGACATACTTGATTGTCAACATTGTATACAATTCCATCAAAAAATAAAAAAGGAATGGCATGTACAAAAGCTAATATCCATATTGTTCCAATAAGTAATAACTGACTTTGTCTTGATTGCCATGATAAACGACTTGGATAAATAATTTTTATATATCGATAGATAGCTTGTAATAAATAAGAATGACCTTGTAGGAAACATCCACAATGAATAAGATAACATCGAAATACACACAACGAATCTTTGTGTTGAATTTGTTGAAGATCATTTATTAATGTAAATATACCTGCCCAAAATAAAGTATTTGTAAGTATAAATTCAGATAGACATGAATTGATTGTTAACATCATCGGAATTGTATGACATTTTTTATCAATAGCCGCAAAAAACAAAAAAAATATTGCAAGTATCGCAGCTACAACATTCAGGACAAGCTGCAAAATATCACAAGGAATGATCCATATCTCGAGATTTGTCGCATTTGAATTATTTTGAAAGCTCATTATTGTTATTGAAGAAGTTGAGTTCATTTCACAAAAACAATTCAATGAATAAATAAAGAAAAAGAAGAATATAGAAAAAAGCTATCTTTCTCTTTAATGTCGTGATCAAGTCACGTGCAATATTTTATTTTTCTTTCGACAAGTTCTTTATTACAGAACGCAAAAAACAATACTGAAACATATAAGAGATTCTTACATGTAAATTTGTTTTGACTTCACAATTGGATAATAAATATTCTTAGTAAATAATCAGAAAGTATAATTATCAAAATCCAAAAGTTCTTTTTATTTCATAAGTAAACAGTCTAGAATAGTATCAATTAGAAAAAACTAATGACGAACCAGGGTGTGGGTACTATTCTTTTTTCTCCCATTCTTAGTCATACCCACACCCACCCCGTAGTCATTTTTCTGCTTGAAATGATCATTTTTTCTACCGATTAAAAAGTTGCACGCTGCTGGAATTTCAGAATGCTTTTTTAATTGTGTCAATGTGAACAAATTGAAAAATAAAAACGATAGAAGATATTATATACTTTTTTTTATTATAGTTTATGACATAATCCTTTTATATATCAATTACGTGCACGAGTTGTAGAAAATACTCAAATCCCCAGAGAATGTGTTGGTTACTACAAGATCCAATTTGTTATCATTATTGAGATCAGCTGATATCATATACCACGGGCCGTCATCCGTCGGATAATCGTTTTTAGATTGAAAAGTCCCATCACCATTACCAAGCAGTACACTGATAGAATCATTCTTGTAATTAACCACTACCAGATCCTGTTTTCCATCATTGTTAAATTCACCTGCAACTACGGCGTAAGGAGATTCACCAGTCATATAAGTGGTTTGATCTCGAAAGCTTCCATCTCCAATCCCCAGTAGCACGCTGACGGTATTGTTATTACTATTAGTCACTGCCAAATCCATTCTTCCATCGTTGTTGAAATCATCGGAGGTCAAAGAGCTGGGAGCGGAGCCAGTCGCATACTTAGTTTGATTTTGAAACGAACCATTTCCATTTTTTCCTAACAGCACACTCACACTAGACTCTCCATTGTTAGCCACTACTAGATCCTGTTTTCCATCGTTATTGAAATCACCAGCAATCAGAGAGATCGGAGCGTTACCAGTTGCATATATCATTTGATTTTGAAAGGTTTGATTTCTATTGCCAAGTAATACACTTACACTAGCATCGTTAGAATTAGCAACTGCCAAATCTGCCACGCCATCATTGTTGAAATCAGCTGATACTATATCGAGGGGTGCACTTCCAGTTTGATAAGTTCCTATAAACTGAAAGGTTTCATTATTATTATTGCCAATCAGTACAACGACAGTGTTGTCATAAAAATTAGCTACTGCTAGATCTGACGTGTTATCATTGTTGAAGTCAAATGATATTACAGATGCAGGTAAATTGCCAGGCGAATATGCTGACTGACGAATCGCGAATCTTGCACTAGTATCACCAAACAGCATGCTGATAGTTCCATCACCGACGTTGGCTACTACTAATTGAGGTATGCTATCATTATTGAAATTTCCTGATACGACAGATGTAGGCCTATTACCAGTCGTAAATACTCTTTGACAATCGAACGTACCATTGCCACTTCCAACTAATAGACTGCCAGTCATGTCGTTATTATTGACCACGACTAAATCTAAATTGTTATCGTTGGTGACATCTACTGATATCACGGATTGGGGTGCTGAGCCAGTCAGATAGATTTGTTGAGGTTGAAAGCTTCCATTTCCAATTCCAAGAAGCACGCTTACTGTAGTACCGCCTTGGTTAGCCACTGCTATATCTAGTTGTTCATCGTTGTTGAAATCACCTGCTGTTACAAAAGTGGGATAATTGCCAGTTGCATACTGAGTATGATTCTGGAAGTTTCCATCTCCCATCCCAAGAAGTATGCTCACAGTATTGTTGCCTGCGTTAGTAACTACCAGATCTAGTTTTGCATCGTCGTTGAAATCACCTGCTATCACACATTGTGGAGAGCTACTAGTATTAAATGTTTTTTTAGGCAGAAAAGGTCCATTTCCTGAACTGAGCAACACGCTAATTGTATTATCACCATCATTAGCAACTGCCAAATCCAATTTGTTGTCACCATTAAAGTCACCTGCTACTACAGACATGGGTTGACTGCCAGCCGTATACTTGATTTGATTCTGAAAAGTTGCATTGCCCATCCCAAGCAGCACACTAATGCTATTGTCGTTTCGATTAGCTACTACCAAATCCAATATGTTGTCATTGTCGAGATCAGTTGATATCGCAGAGTTCGGACCTATACCAGTGCTATACAGACTTAGATTACTCTCGAATTCTCCATTCCCGTTATTAATCCATACAGCAATTGAATTTTGAACCCTTATGGCTATTGCTAAGTCCAGTTTATGATCATTGTTAAAATCACCTACAGTTAAATATGCTGGTGGAACACCAAGAGAGTACTGTGACTGCTGCATTGCAAAAGTTCCATTGCCATTTGGAAATAATATTGCAACTTCGTTATCGAACAGATCGGCTACTGCTAGATACAATTGTTTGTTATAGTTGTTGAACTTGCCTACTGCTACAGATCGAGGATAGGAGCCTGTCTTGATGCTTATTGAACTTGTATAAGGATTTTTACAGACGCCTACAATAACGAGATATTATGAGATAAAACTGAAAAAGTTATAGATATTTTGACAATGGTTTTGAGTGAACTCTATAAATTGCAGTTGTTGAAAAGAAAACTAATATATATAAACCCTCAACTCGACAAAGACATTTAATTTAAACGATGCCGATCGTAATATCTGTCTATCCATTATACTGTCACGCTCTTTTGAAAAGCATACCTGACTTGCTATCGACTAATCTTGATCCCACAACAGAGCCGACAATAGCTGCTATAGCCAACATAATTGCCAGTAAACTGAATGGAATGGCGAATCTTTTCTTACGATACCATTGACGTCTTGACAAAATGATAAAAAGATATATGAAAGATAGTATTAGATACAAATCAGATGAGACTTACTTAATTTTCGGATAAATATGTGCACCTAAACATAGAACAGTACTTTGACGTATGCTATGCAATTGATAATATTCAACATACCTTTGAAAGGTGGTTCGAGTAGTATTTCCTTCGGTTCTATCTGTTTTAAATGAATGATGTGGAGATCTAGTGCCGGGTTCATTTTCGATTGAACTATCATGCGAGTACCGGGTAGAAGAAGGACTTCATCTTCGTTGGCAACTTCTGAATGTTTACTTAGTAGTCGACCATTGATAGCTTCGATGGAGAAAAGCGTTCGAGCGCCTGTTTTGCCTAGAAACATGTTATTTTCCAACACAGGCATTGTAAAGGTGCATGATGAAAATGCTCGCCATGTTACTGAAGTTCCAGACGAAAAATCTGCACTCACATCTTTGGGCACTCCTCGCCAAATGGTTTGTGGTTCAACGCAGGGTAGTTTGACTATAGCAGTCAATAATAGTTTCAAATACTTGAAATAAGGTCGAAGACGCTCGTGTTCACCCATCCTCAGAGTGTTATTGAGCATCGAATAGAGACTTGGCTGTGTTCCTTTCCATTCCATTGTATAGAGACGAATTGCCGCACTTTCATCGATTGTCAGGTCATCAGGTGGTAATTCGGGAGTGTGATACAGTGCCAATTGAACGTAAATTAAGATATCATCGACCATATTTATCAGCGGAATACATGCCTTCGACAGTGGCAATATGTTCTCTTGAGCATATTCTACAACAGGACTAAAATCTATTTTGATCTGGTTTATGTAGTTCATAAACATCACATTGTGATCCACAATAACAGTATCTACCACTCGAGGATTTCGTGTCATATAGTTTTCCATGGTATTATTGGAACTCTCCGTTGTTACTACCGTTTGTGTTTGATCGACTGTCTCCGGTCCTTTCGAGTTCAGATGCAATCTTTCATACGCATTCAGTGAATCATTGTTGATCTCAGGAACTATCTTCATTAGTTGTCTTCGAATATTTGTCTTTTGATCATCGAATATGAATGATGTTTGCTATAAAAATAGAGAAAAATTCTTTTTACCGATGATGAACACATTTAATCATTGACACTAAGGGATTATTAAGCAATTATTCAGGGTGTGGGTGTGGATATAGATAAGAACGGGAGAAAAAAAATAGTGCCCACACCCACCCTCAAGATGGTTTTTCGAAAACTGAGCACAAGTCCATATTCGCATATTACATCATAGAAAATAATGATATTTTTCTCTGTAACTAGGCAATTTCTTTAAACTCGATCGAGATATTGATGATACATATCTGTATGCATAATTTCATCACAATTGGATGATATTTTGAAAGAATTATCATGTAAACGGCTGGCAGGACATTTCTATACGAAAGGAAAAAATTACTCAGAAACTAAGACACATTTTTTAGGACTTAATTTATACAAAAAATGACATGCCTGTCTGTCGGGATTGTGACAATCACTGTCAAACATGCACGTAAATTTTGACCATATGAGTTATAACTTCATAAAACTTGAGTACAAGAAAAGTACTTGATATAAAATTAAATAAATTTCATCAATAAGGTTCACTATCACTGATAAGTTATTAGACACTACTATGACATCATCTAATCAAAAAATAAGCATCAATAAGAATATACGAATTCAGATCCATAATTTATACTATGAAAAAGATTGCTACTTCGCCACATGTTCGGATCATTGATAAGATTTTCTAAAGTTTGATTGCAAATATTTTAAACTAGCTAAAAATCATCCAATCTAATCTACATATAGCCTAATTGTTGTAGAACGAAATATTTTTCATTCATATTGTGATATAAAAATTATCAAAAATTCTATACAAATGAATTTTAAATTTTGAACAATATGGAAAAATCTAACGATGAGTCTTTTTAATCTTTATTAAATTCATAATACGATAATAGACGCTTAGAATATCTTGAAAAACTGAAGCTGATAATAACTATTCTAACTATGTATAACTGTCAAGTTTCATATTGGAAGTAAAAGTACATCTATTTTTGTACTAGCTCTGTAAACTATACCTGTTTATCTTCAGATCTGTTGTTGTTGACAGTATCATTGAATGTGTTCATCTCATAGTCTTTGGTACGCATTACGAAATCAAAAATCTCTATGTTTGTATCTTGTTTGCGAGCCATATACGTTAATTTTTTGTTTGGTAACTTATCGACGGATATTTTGTTTTATTGAATGGGTGTGATAAATTATTTTCTTTACGTTGCTTCACTATACACACCCACACCCACGGCTCGATGCGCATGCACATACGCTAATCCATTTCGTGATTCACATCTAATTATTTTAATGACGTCTTATTTTTGACTCACTTTGCGACTGATGTATTTTATCCAATAAACAAATCTAGCATGCAATATGATGGTAACACTCTTTTGATAGATTTTTCTCTGAATCGTATGATTAGGTAGCTCAGACAAATAGCAGAATTTTTGCGTTAAATTTTCCACAACTTGTTAGTGTCAACAGATGTCACTCTATAGCACTAACTGATCTCTATACTATTGAGACTTTTATCTTTCTTTTTTGATGCTCTTTGTTCTCTTCTCTTGTTGATCATCATCATGTTCTTATACCTTTGCCGCTTTTTCACCCTCTTCACAGTTGACATAAGAAATTGAAATGTGGGAAACAATTAAAAAAAAGGAAAAAACAAAATCTTTTTTATGAATAAAGCTTTGTTATCATGTAAAAAAAAGAATCTTTTCAAGAATTGTTTTCAAACAAAAATATATTGAACCCATTAAATGAAAATTAATATCAGCCGGTTCACACCATACCATAATAAAAGTAAAAATAAGTATAACCAATGAATCTTATAAATCAATAACAATTGACGAATATATTTATCTATTGATGATGTGTGTAATATAGCATCCATCTTTAAATGAAAATATAAAAATAATGTTTGTGAAAAGAAAATAATTCTTTTGAAAATCATTTGAAATGAGTAGTTAAACATTGAGTTTGATTAAGATTTGTTTTCGATCCAACCTTTATTAAAAATAAACATATTTGTTTAAGAAATGTATATGACTTACCAAAATTCCATCAGATTGCCAGTTATTATTTTTATCTAGATAATAACATCCTGATGTATAGATTTTTATTATTTAAATCTATAAAAGAAGAGATCACTTATAAGTGAACCTTTTTTAAGTGTTTTTTATACTATTTTTTACATGACTGGTGAACGTTAACATTTAAAAGTATAACCTACTTGAGGAACAAAACGGAGTCCATCCATCCAATTGATAAATAAATAAGAAAGATTTCTGTTTCATTTCTATCAAGGAATGAAAGTGAAATCGATGTCGAAAGATTTGTATTTGATTGAGAACTTGCAAATGAAGGAAGTGATTCCATCTGTGTCTAGAACAACCGTTAGATAGAAGAAATTCTTTCAAAAAAGAAACAAACTTGAAGTGAAATCATTTTATTTTTATTAAAAATTGATGGAATATAAATTTCGGCATGTCCAACTTGTTTAATACATTTATTTGATAAATATTGCATCAATAATATTTCTAATGAGAAAAGGACTTGAGCTGTATTTATTGCTGAGTTTTGTCCCAGATTAAAATCAATATTTAAATCTGATATTAATAATGATATTATTTCATTTGCTAATTTTTTTTGATAATAGATATTTCGTAAATAATCACTTTTAGAGTAACAATTAAATCTGAATCAAGTAGATTTGTTCGTTGTTGTAATATGGTCCATTTACAGCTTAAGTTTATTATCAAATATAAGTTCTTCATTATCTTAAATATCTTACAGTTAGAATATTACTAGCATATTGAATAAGTTGTGTTGTTGCTATTTGAATATCTTCATATGGAATTCTTTCTGATATGGAATATAAATGACGAACTAATTGATCAGTTTTCTTCAGTACAATTATCTAGTTGTTATTGAAATTATATTATAGCATAGAAAACAATTAAATTTCTTTACTAAACTGGTTCCCGTTAATTGAGTTAACGACAAGAATTGTAGTTTAATATTATTTATTGATACTATTGTAAGATTAGTTGTAAATTCGATTAAAACTTCTCGAAAATTTGCTAGAGAATTCAATTGTTTATTATGTTCAAACAGAACTGATTCATTTAATGGTATGAAAATCTGTTTAGAAGTATTATAAAATATAAGAGAATCAATTGAATAAAATTACTTGTTGTGAACTTTGAGTGCCTAATGGAGATATAGAAATACTTGCAATTGGAATGTCACCTACACAAACGTTAGTGTTATTATTTATCATATTTATATAGAATAATTAATCTGGAGTAGCGTAATTGATCGTTTCATTATTAATTTTATTCAGTTCATGTGATAGTAAAGCAATAACTTGTCCAATTATATTTTGATTTCCATTTGAAAGTAATTGAGTCGATGAATTATTATTCGAACTTTTTAAATTGTTGATTCCCGATAATAATCGAACTTGAAATTCTGAAATCGGTGAAAAAGCAATGATTGTTTGTTTCGCTCGATCATTTGTCCAATCTAATATAAAAATATTTTATTTTTTTGTTAAATTATAGAAAAAAAAAGATTTAGATACAATACAACGAATGATCTTTAATAATATCTTTATCAAACCAATTTGGGCATGAAATCGTAAATATAGTATTTGGTGTACCATTAAAAGGATGGGTGTGGGTGTGGGTTAGGAGTGATTGATATCCTCACTAACACCCACCACACCCACACCCTCACCCACCCACACCTTCAGGCCACTTCCTTTGTTTATTTTCTTGCTGAGGTAATATATTTAAACTGTTTATTCATAGAGAGTGATTGAAGTGGCATAAAGAGCTGTTGGGAAAGAACAACCAAAATGCGTCATGATTGAAAGTTTCCAACAGTATACTATATAAACAGTTGCTTGTCAGGTTTTGCGATGTAACAAAATTTTCTCAGTTTCACGACATCTTGGGTGGGTGTGGGTGGGTGTGGGTGGGTGTGAGTGGGCGTGGATGTCGATAATTGTCTTCTCTTCACATCTACATCACCTACACCCACATCCACCCACACTCATTTCAATGCTTCATCATCGATCATTATTCTCTCTTTTTAATGTGTTAAATTTGAAATACTAAAATGAAAATATTAAAGAAATATATACTGACCTTATTTTGTCTTTGCATAAATATCTTTACTTTTCTCGAATGAGTATTTATTTTGATGAAAAAAAGAAAATGTGATTATTTGATTCATGTGGAAAAAAATATTAAGACAGTATCGTTATAAATATAATGCAATCTGATAGTAATATCCTATACGCATGTATGCAGTTGATTAAATATTAAACAGTGAAGAGATAACAAATAATTATACTTTAAAAATAAAATTGAGAGACCTTTTCCTTCCTTTTTAATACTGTAGATGTACTTTTTATTCTTATTTTTGTCTCGTTCTTCTCATTCTATGATGTTCTATTGATTCGAATAACAAGTAATTGCAATACAAAAAAATATGATTTTGTTATAACATTAATTATTTCAAGACATAAAACTGAAGAAGAGGATGTGGGCATAATACTCATATGTACATACTCGCAACCTCACCCTCACACCCTCAAGATTATATGTTGATATTATATATAATTAGTTTTATTTTTATTGTGAACGCGTGAGTATATATTTAACAAAATCAATCTAGATTATATTCAAAATTTTATATTATGTTTCATTGTGAAATAAAATCGATCATATGAGTATCGATATCTTCATATACTTGTTCTTCATCTTGATTAGCATCAATGGTAATTACACGTGGGAGCATTGCACGATCATGATAAATTTTTGATGTTAACCATTGTTCATGTTGCCGATGAAGAGCGCGTAAATAGTCAAGATCAATTTTTGCTTCTTCAGGTCGATTACGAGCACGAATGCGTTTAAGACAGACTTCCGGTTCTGTTCGTAGATAGACTAAAAAACACTCCAAATATTACAATAAAATTACAATATAATACTTCTTACGTATCAGATCGACTTTGCATGAGTTATTATCGGTAAGCCTTTTGAAATCATCATCTAATATCTGATATTCAACGTTGGTTAGAGTACCACTAAATTTAAACATATTCAAATGGATATATATAATAAATGATTTACTTTTCAAAAAGATTTTCAATAAAACAATGACGAGTAGAATGAATCGATCGTTCGTGAATTTTAATCAATTCTTTTGATGGTTCCACATATAGTTCAGCCAATGTTCTTAAAGCATTTATTTCGAAAAGAAAAGCCCATCGACTTGGTTCTTTGTAAAACTGTGCCTATAATAATAAAAGAATTTTAAGAAGAATTGTTTTTATTTACAATTGCCAATTTTTACCAAAAGATTTTCTCCATAGCAATTTTTCCATTTTTCGAGTGGTTCATGAATAATCTAGAAGAAAATCAATTCATACGTCTATATTAATAAAAGATTTAACATTTACATCATATGATGGTGATTGACCTAAACGAGAAAGCATCGTACTCTTTCTAAAATAAAAACGATGTGAAAATGAATTCAAAAAAATTTATTCTCAGATTTATTTACCCACAACCAATGTTTCCTTCGATGTGAATCTATTTAATAAAAAGAAGAATGAAATTAAATTTATTGATGATGAAATAAATGTATACCGTCAAGTTCTTTTTTGTATGCATATTGATGAAGATATAGTTTGAAAATGTTTAGAATATGATAAACCATTTCCTTTTTATATGATAGTTATTTCATATATATGAATTATTACCAGTTGAATTGCTCATTGCAATCACACCGATACTAATAGAAGTCTTCAGTATGCGTCATGAAGACGACTATTGAGACTAATTGTCGATACATGGAATAAACCAATGTAATATCTGCTACAGGAAAAAAATACCCGTCGTTGCATAGTTTCTTTCCTTTCCTTGTCGTTGTGTACGGTGAAAACTGATGTAATTATTTTCTTTATATTTTATATTCTTACGTCCATAAATAATACTTGCAGCTATAAATGAGTGGGAAAAAAAAGAAGAATTAGTTTAATTGAATGCATAGATGTATTTACCAGTATATAGTCACTTTGTTTTTAAAGATTTTTCCCATCGAATAAAATGATTCAGATAGGTGGAAGTGTGGGTTGAAAAAGATTCGATCGAAGAAAATGACAGATGTTCAGATTTCTTGAGGGTGTGGTGTGGGTGTGGGTGTAAATTAAGAAAAGATAGACACCCACACCTTGCTCACGTGGTGGTTAATTGAATATATTATGATTCAACTCGACTGCTTGTAGTTATTATCGTACATGCATCTCGAGATAATTGAGCTTTAGATTTATTTATTTATATGTATGTTAGGATTACAAAACACATATGATATATTCATACATATCTACCCGTTTTTAATTTATTGTAAACAACTCTGTTAATATATAACTTTCTAATACAAATTCTTTTATATCATTCATTTTTCGTATGATATCTTTAATCTTCTTCTTCTTCTCATAATAATCAGTTTCGTCATACAACTGCATGGATATTAACAAACTTTCATCAGCCAGTTCATATTCAGATAATTGAATATAAAAATCGGCCAATTCTCGATATGTTTCAGCCAAATCAGAATTGATTGAAGCTATTAACACAATAGAATTTGTTGGAACTGCTCTGTATTTTATTCTGCATTCAACTTCTTTTTGTTTATAATGAAGAGCTTGAGTGTAATTTTGTTTTTGTTCAGCGTACATTTTTGAAATTTTACCATAATTTTCGGCACTTGAGCTAAAACTGGGCTCATCCTGTTGCAAATAAATCTGTATCACTTTCTCATAGTTCATTGTTGTTTCTGTGACAAGACCAACTGCATTCTGTAGTTCAGCTAAACTATGAATGCAGTTTAACAGATCTGAATGATTTTCTGGAAGATAATTTAATAACTCTTCCAACTGTTGTTTTCGATATGTAATACAATCGAGTAAGATTTCTTTTCGTTGAGTTTCGTCATCGGTGATTGTTACTCTATTTTGAGAAAGCGAGCCTATTATATCATAAAGTTCTATCCGTTTATGCTTATCTGTAGTTGTCTGTAGTGATAAAGTGCAGGAAGTAATTCCAAGATCATAATAGTTATTAGCGAGAATATTATCTTTTACATAAATGTCATAAACGAAACCCAAACTGGAACAAATACGACCGATATCAACAGCACAAGTAAGTTCCTTGTCGTTGATAAACGATTGATAAATATTTAATGCTTGTTTCAACTTATCCAATGTATTCTGGACATATTCAGGATAATGCTTGATATGGAACTGTTGATAGATTCGAGCGATTACAAAATATTTAACTGCATCCAGCCAGCTCTTTTCCAAGGGAAATAATTCTTGTAATTCTATAAAAAGACTGTGGACGTCTTCTAAACTCACTTTATATAAATGATGTATTATTTCATTGATACAATTTTTTAATGTTGCTCTTGCTGTTATTCCAATAACATTGTATTCCTGTCTTAAAGATGATTCATCTTCTAATTTGAGTTTTACTACGTACAGACCTGTATCATCATTATGGTAACATTCAATAACTTTGAAACGAGCTCCAATCATAAATAAAACTTCACTTTCATTAGGAAAATAAGATAAACTTGCAATGTCTCCGAACGGATGAGTTTTAAAACGACTGTCAACTTGAATTTCAAATAAAACACGTTTCCATTGATCATCCTGGGTACCTAATGATTCGGTCAAAAACGATGCAAGAGTATGATCCAAAGTTGTTGAAAAGAAACTAGTAGTAATAAAATCAGTATCTTTTGTGAGCTCATAAATTTCATCTGATGACATAATCTGTCCACGATAAACTTCCACCATTTCAATGTCTGAATAAGTAGCTTGAAATTTTTCATGTTCATTCTTCAATTGCATGTACATGTCTTTGATAAAAAAACTAAATAAAAAGATAACTTCGATATTTTTCTGACGAAGTGCTCTGTTGAGAAGATGAAAGAAAAATGTATTTCGTGTGTACCAATAAATAGCTGTATTAGATGTGTAAGTTCGTTCAAATTCATCTAATATTTTCAACTCCGACTGTCGATCTTGATAGTAATGTCTTAATTTTATAAGAAACGTTTCAAGACAATTATCAGGATATGTCAAATGACAGATCATAGAAATTACATAGTTCCACCACGAAAATGTAAAAATATTTGTTGAATAGTTATCTTTTCCAACTTCACTAAAAATGCCATCTTTCGCTTGCTGTAAATATTTTTCGATATCATATTTGAGATCTTTTAATAGTAATTGTGAATCATTGTAGACGTCGCATCTGGTCTATATGAAACAAGAAACAATAGTGTATAATTTTTCAGTAATAAATGACTTACTTTACTATATTCTTGTGGACATTGTTGATGTTCGTGTTCTTCTTGGCAATAGATATAAATTGATCGGATATGTCTTAGAATGTGAATTTGAGGAATAATACTTTGATTAGAACAATTAGAACAAATTAAAAATGTTGTTGTATCGTTTGTTTGTTCAATAAATTGAACAGCTTCTTCATTATCATTTATGAATTTCGTATAATTAACGATTTTGCGAAACTCTTCCAATAAGAACGGAATGGTATATTGTGTAGTATTATTCAAATTTATATCGAGAAATATCAGTTGATGTGATTCAATATTATTATGCTCACGATCAAAGAAGTAACTACGACGTTCATCTAAGGTATTTATTTTAGTTGTCGGCAAATCTTTTGAGAACGCATCTGATATGACTGATGAACAACAATTTTCATTTCGTAACATTTTCGAATGACTTGATGATAGCTTACTTGACCCACAGTTATATTTAAGTTGTTAAGAAAACTGGATTTTTTCGTACAATTAATTTTATACAACCACAACGATATGTCGAGCTATTCGATTCTTTTTTGTCTTTAAATTGTAGCACGCACGAAATGTGCAAAGATATATGACATCGCTATGATAAGAAAAAGAAAAAAAACAACAATATCACATAACGTCATTGTGATACGAACACGGTGTAGAATGAAACTCTATACTAAACTAAGAGTAAATATACATATGCATTAAGGATATATCAAACATTTTCTCACTCTTAATATGAAATCGACGAAGTATTCTGCATACCACTGCATTTAGGCGAATAACATAATTCCCTCTATTTCATCAGATTTTTTGTTTGTTTTTCGAAGAGATATTTTTTTTTCCATTAAGAAGAATACAATTTTATATCAACAATGTCTAATTGCACAGCACTTCAATACAGTTCATTTCATATGAATTCCTTTTCTCTTTCTTTCCAATAACATTTTTTGTGTATTGTGGACATTGAATGGGTTTTTTTCTCAATCATAACACATTCTTTCGAAATAATATGCGTAGTGGGAAAAAAAGAAAAAAAACTGCAAGTGTTGTTACTTTATAAAATAAACGAAAAGAATCATTCCGCGAAAAGAACATTCAGTCACACACACAGAGAATACCATTCGCATCAAGCAAACTATTAATTTTTTCAAATCATTCGATTTAAATAATTCTGTTTGGTAAGTTTTACATATAAATCCTTGAAAAAAAAGAAATGTGTCGAAGTTCTGTTAGTTCTGAATTCTTAAGAATTCGTAAATTTGTAAACCAACTAGAATCGACGGAACTCAAGGAATAAGACAGGGCATGGGTGCGAATATGAGTAAGATATACTTGTTCTAATCCTCTCGATGAGTTCTCTGCTTACTCGTCATTTCTTTGATTCCCAACCTTTTTTTAAGTTCAGAGAATTCTCACATGCCCTTGGGATCTATACGATACTAGCGTTCGAGACTTTCGATTTGCACACAATTTCCTTCTGTTTTAAGAGTTCTCTTAGTTTTTTATTCATTTATCTAGTGAAAAATTGTCAAATTATACCTCATTATGTATGATTATAATCGAATTTTTGTGCAACAAAATCAGGATTATAACCGATTGAAATCTGTTAAATCAACAATAATTCGATTTTTAATCAAAATTATATTTGATTTAGAAGATTAGTTTTTGATTAAAAATCGAATTATTGTTGATTTAACAGATTTCAATCGGTTATAATCCTGATTTTGTTGCATAAAAATTCGATTATAATCATACATAATGAGGTATAATTTGACAATTTTTCACTGGGAATAACTTCATGACTTTTTAATATTTTTGGAACTCACACAAACCAGTTATTTGTTCACTTTTGTGTCTTATGTCAGTTCGGTTCGGTTCTTGAATTCTGTGAGTGCTGTGGATTTTGTGAGTTTGGCCGATGCGATTTCCTATTAGAGTTCATAAGATTTTATTTAATTACGACCGATACATATCTTTTCAGTGTGAGGTGTGGATGTGGGTAAGTGCTGCTAATATACGTGTAAGAGAAGAA